ATAAAAAAAATCTTAAAAAAAAAAATGAATGCAAAGTATAAAAATGGAAGGGCTAGTAAAATCATAATCCAAATTAGACAAAGCCAGAAATCATTAAGCATGACAAAAACAATAGACTGCTAGCCTCAGCAGTGCTCACCGAATGTAAACCTGGCAATAGGGCTTTAACGGTGAAGGAAAAGAACAAAATGAAATATGACAACTGGCATTATCTCATGAAATTGTGTATAAAAGTCAAAATGTGGAAGAAATGGAGAAAACAAAGAGTTGAGAATTAGCACAAAGAAAACATTTTGCTCAAAAATACAGAAAAAAGTTCAGATCTACAAACCTGCTCATGGGGACACAGCTAGCTGCTACTCTATTATTAAGCAAACTATATAGTCTATTGACACAATGAAATATCATATATCTATAAATGACACATGTAGATATCAAAAATATTTATATAAAGTATTAATAACTAAGACAAGCAGGTCACAGGATTGTATGTACATGCTTATTACAATTCCATAAAAATCATTGTATGTGTGTGTATATATATATATATATATATATATATATATATATATATAAAATTAGGGAAGACTCTGAATGAATATAAACAGGTTAGAAATTTGATGTTCACTAATTTCTTTTTTGGAACTTACTTCAAAACACAACAGTGGTCAGACTGTTTTAGTACAGTTTCCAACTGCAAATGTGTGATATTCTAAAATTCCATTTGTAAATAGGTTGTTGGGAACTCAGAACATATTGGTTCATGGAACAATGTTACCAATAGGGCCAGGAACTCAAATCAGGTAGGAAAAGCCTTTTTACCACATAATAGCCTGAGATACACTTCAAATACAGTAATGCCCAGTGTATTCAACATCAGTAAAGATTAAACAGGAGATATAAACAGGAGATTGAAAAAATATAAACAGGAGATAGAAAAAGATAGATTAAACAGGAGATAGAAAAAATTTTAAATGTGTATCTCTCCTCCCTGCCTCATTAAAAACTGTGCTAAACATAATTCATGCTCTTATGATGACTTGGCACTGCTACTCTAAACACCAGTACTGCCCAGCACACTGCTACCCTGAAGTTTTACTTTATACCAGCATTCTCCCAAGTGTGTGCTGCAGAACCGTCCTGGAGGGATCATGCAAGAAAAATGAGTTCAGGCCTTATTGAAGACACTAAGTTCTACAGCAAAGAATCCCGTTTAATTTGCTACCCCTGTGTTTCCCATTTAACCCTTCTCTACATAATGACTGTTAAGGTCCCACAGAACAAGAATGTTATAGAACATATAGGAAAACAATGCCCTGTATTGAAAGGATCCTGGCTGTTGTGCTCCATTTTGGTGCCTCCTCTTTATAATTAGTTTTTAGATCATCAGTTTGCCTTCTACTTTTCTCAGTAATCCTATGTAATCATCCTCCCTCATTCTAATTTGCTGCTTCTTGGCTACTATGAGCTGGAAAGCCAGGTAATCAAGCTTGTTAAACTGTGTCCAAAGTCAAAGTTAACAGGCTCTGAGAGCCGGTGAGTTTCTTCTAGTGTCAAATGCATGCACTTAGGGTATATCAGCTTGGTGCTATTTTATCTACTCAGTCTTTTTTATTTCCTTTCTGGGTCTCAGCTGTGTTGTTCAAGTGAAGTCCTGCACAATACTGATTCAACTACATTAGATCATACATCACTAAGGGCAGGGACCATGTCAGATTTTGCCCATCAATGTCTCCTCAGAGCCTATCAGTAACTGGCACATTTTAAGTGCTTGCCAAATGTTTGATAATGACTAATGAACTACCCCTAATCACCAGATATAACATTAATTCTTTGGCTAAGTACATGATGAATTTTAACTCTGGACACCAGAAACCCATTTCCTCCTCACCTCATTCGAGCAGAGATACCAGGGACTCCTATGCCTCTGCCCACATACAGAGTTTATTCAGCTCTCCTGGCAGTCCCATTCATGCATAGCGGCCTTTGTGTTATTCAAAGTTGGGGATCATAGGGAGTACTACCCTCACCTGGAAACAGGACAGATTTAGATCAGGTTTAAGAAAGCACTTCTGGCCCATGAAATTTGCTGTAACACTGGAATGGGTGACCATAGCTGGCAGCCTTGCCTTCTCTGCAGACACCTCTAGAGCTGGCTCTTTCTCCTTACTGATGCATTTGGGTCCATCAGCAAACACACCTCTGTAACAATGGCAAAGTCATGGGAAGCCAATTTAGTACTCAGGTTATAAGCATAAAAGTAAAAGAGGGAACTGAATGTTCTTGAAGGATGGTTCACTCAAGCAGTCTAGGCCCGAAAAAAGAAAATCTCTGTCCACTACCGTCCAGCACGTTTTTGACGGCATGATGTATTTTTTACTTGGGTTAATTCTCACGCGCAAGTCGCCCACCCCATCCCCACGTCTTCTCCATAAATACTGCTTGCATATGATGCTTAAGACAGCTAGGGGTCTTCTTTCCCAAGAACAGTCTATTCCTGAGAATAGACCCTAGCCACCTGATTTGGCCTTAATGCCAAGTCTCCATCAGTACACATTTATAATTCTTCCTTGAAGGTAACAATTTGCTCATTCATAAAGAATTGATTCGCAGCAGTTTCGCTCTCAAAGTAGGATTCCACTAGAATTTCTGAGGGCCCACCCATTCATATGAGGGACTTCATCGACCCTTAGGTTTCCCTGTCAGCCTGACTTCCCTTGCCCTGAGGAGTCCCTCCAGAGCTCTCAAATACAACCTTAAAATCAATGAGAGGGAGAGAGAATATGAGAGAATGAGAGGGAGGGAGGGAGAGAGGGAGAGGGAGAGGGAGAGGGAGAG